ATTAGAGGACTTACACGTTCTTCTGCTGCTTGACTGTCATGGATAAAAGACCCCAGTTCTTAGCAGAGATTTGAGACGCAATCAAAAAAGTGCGCAGATTTTCAACCACAGTGGACACAATGTCAGAATCAGTGGCACTTTTCAATGAGTCAAAATACTCAAAACATCCTTGACCAAAATTGGCTACAATGAGAAAGCAATGTTTCTCATGGAATACGGGAACAAATACCTGCAAAAGAAGAAGAAGAAGAAAGTGATTATGTCATCTAACAGGCCATCCTAGAATATCTAAAGCTATCAAAATAACAAGACAGGAAAAAAACATCATTAGGCTTACAAGTAACTGCGATTCTGAATCCATCACAGTCCTCGTCCATCTACAAAAAGTTAATGGATCTTAAGCATGCAGGAATCTTAACGATATTGCACCAGCCAGGAGAATGCTGAGCAAACATTTCCCAAGAAATCACTGAAAATTACCTCATTTTCTGATATTCCCGCTTGGACTTTTGTGGGTCGACTCCTTTTTCTGCCGGGTACTTCTCCATTTCCCTATAAAAAAACAATGGTGAAACAGGACCAAAACCATAGCTCTAAACAATGGCTGAACAAGTGTTTTATCTTATGCCGCACTTACACTCATATGGCAAGCTAAGCTAATGCTACAGCCTTATTCAGTCACCAATTAATCCCCTGATTTCTAGTCTTAAACTGTTATGAAAACAAGATGTACAGAGCTGTGGCTCAAAGACTGCTCTATGATGCTGAAATAAATTTGGTTACAATTTATGACCTACGGTTGTGGCCTTGATGCAGATATGTTAAACTCAAATCTTTGCTTACAAAGCTGTAGGTCAAAAATATTAGCATGTAGCTAAGTATGACAAACAGAGATGTGGAACATAAATGACAATACAAAATTCCTCTCTTCCTGTCATCAAAAAAATTAAGATCAAGGATAAATGACAATACAAGGCCTTATATGGAACTGCAGGGGTCTGAGAAAGTCTGGTGTTGCTACCTTTATTAAGTCCCTAATTCACCAATATCAATTAATTGAGCCACAGAAATATCTTGGGGTACCTGTTAGTCCCTCCAGGCTGCATGTTAGGGATTGGCTACCTCTTCTTGAAAAAACTGCTAAAAGATTGGATGTGTGGAAGGGGTCATCTATGTCAATAGCTGGCAGGTCTTCCCTGATTTCTTCTAGTCTTAATAATGCCCCCACTTACCATATGTCCATGTACCTTCTGCCTAAAACAGTAGTGCATAACATGGATAAGGCCAGGAGAACCTTTTTTGGCAAGGTGGCCACGTGAAAAGGAAATACCACTTAGTTAAGTGGATTAAAATCTGTAGTGGATAGAATGGAATAAGATTTTAGAAGATGTTCATCATACACAGCTTACCTCCGATCGGGGATAGAGTAATATGGAAACTAGAAAGTAAAGGAAAATTTCTTGTGAAATCCACCTATAATGCTCTTACAAGTTACGATGAGGGCTCTTATGTTATAACAAATATGGAAAGATAATAGAGAGCCATCGGCAATAGGCGGGGATAGATTCCACAACTCCCTTTCTCGTTGCCTATAAAATTTAAGGGCATAAATAATAGAGATAAAAGGCATACCTCCTTTGGCTGTGCGAGAAGCGTGTGACGACTCCGTTTCATGATCCCCAAGTTCCATGTCAAGACTGATGGCTCAAATGGCTCTCGTTGCCTATCAACATTTGAAATCAAAAATCAAATGGCTCAAATAAGGCCGAAGAGCTCGGGGAGTCTAGAGCGAACCTCGAGGGGGGGTGGCGGGGTGTCGGGCAGCGACCCGGAGGGACGACGGCGCGAGGTCGAATAAGGCCGGCGGGGTCGAGCTCTAGGTCCATTTAAAGCGGGGAGGGAGAGTGTAGGTCGGCGGGAGAGGAAGGAAGAGGAGGTGGGTAGCGGTTTTTGAATAATAAGTGAAAACGCCGTTATGGAAAAATGGGCCATCCTAATCATAAGCGAGGTTTCGGCCAAGAAGCCCAACCCAAGCCCACGAATGGTCCAAATTGCGTGTCGAATTCCCCAAATTCCCAATCGTCGAATCCCTACCCTAGTTGAGGTGACAAGCATGCGTTGTCGCCGCCCCCGCCCACCGCGGCCACCGCGCCGCCGTCTTAATCATCATCGGCCGCTGCGTCTGCAATGACCGGCCCGCGCCTGACCCTCGCCCTCACGCCGCGCGCCTGCCCGCGCGCCCGACCGGCCTCTCATCATTTGACGAAGCCTGCGGCGCACACCTCACCAGCCGGAGAGCAAGCAAAGCGTGTTGGTAATGATATTAGAGTCTTTCACTCGAAATGGTTTAAGGATTATGATTGTGTTTCACATCTATCAAGCCCGCTTCTGAGCTCAGCCTAGATTTGTGTAGGCTTGTTATGATGTAATCGACTTAGGAAAAATGTGTGTTGTCCATAATGTGTAAATTTGGTATGATTTACAAATCATCTATTAATGATAAAATGAACCTTAGATGATTTTTGTAGGATACGATATCTAGCTTATCCGACCAGATCTTGCTTGACCGCGCTTCGTACACCCGTGGGTCATGCCGACCAGTTCCATGACCTAGTTGGCTCATCTTGCGAGCTAGGCCACCACCTCTGGTGCGGCCCATGTAGAGCCACGAGGGCATATGGGTTTATACCCCCATGGCTAGTCCCCGGGCACCATGGATCTTGACCGCACCAGACACCCATGGGTCATGCCGACCCGGTTCCATGACCTAGGCTGGCTCATCTCTTGAGCTAGGCCACCACCTCAGTGCGGCCCATGTAGAGCCATGAGGGCATATGGGTTTATACCCCCATGGCTAGTCCCCGGGCACCATGGATCTTGAGGGAAAACACCGTCTTGACCTTCTCCGACCAATGAGGCTTGAAGTCTTGAAACATCCAACCAGCGGAAAAGGACTGCTGCAGTGCGTTAATGATCATCCCATCACCGATCTATCCAGACCAAGACAGAGTTGTCTTGGCTTGCCGGCCGAAGCTAAGCTGGAAAGCCGACCACACATGGGGAATGATTGTGAGAAATGCAAATGGGGAGGTTCTAGAAGTGGGAATGGGACACCGACAATGACTTTCTTCTCCTCTACATGCTAAAACTTTGGCGGCAATGAGGTGTTTGGAGCGTGCTACATATCAATCGGTTTAAAAAGAGAGAGAGGGGGTTTATCTTTGGGACCCTTTATCTTTCTCCTCATCCAACTCCTTTGTGAGCACCTCTGCTCTTATTTTCATATTAGACGCCTCATTCTCTACGGCATCTCTCTCGAGGTTTAACCTTTTTATGTCCTCAATGTTTATGAGAATCTACTATTAATTTGAATGGGGATCTACGAAGTGGAGTAACCATCACACCTTTGAACAAAATCCAAACATACATGAAATCGATTGAGAACTACCTTTGAACAAAATCCAAACATACTTGAAATCAACAAGTACTTATCATTTGTGAACCATAGCATGTGGGTTGCAAGTGATGTTCAACAAAATGAGAATTCTTCCCCAACCTAAGAGATAGGTTTAGCCTATCTAAGGTTGCTCTCTCTGTAACTCCTCAAGTGCAAAGGCTTTATCACCTAATTTTAGTAGTGTTATCCATGATGAGGAATGCGAGTTGAAGAAGTAAAGCTCCAACACTATCAAGCATAATTACAAAATCTGTGAATTAGATTTATATTAAACCTACAACTAATAAGTACTTGTGATAATTTATCAACTTTATTTGTGAAGCTTCATTTGGTACGGCTAATCACGTCACGCGCCGCCGAAAGCACTGTCATTGCCAAATCGCCATTGACCGGGCATCGCCTCTGACCACCTCTCCGAATCGATAAGTCGGGTCAATCAACACAAGGTGGCTTCCAATCGATCGAAGTCTTCCACCGTCACGGTGCACCTCTGGATCATCGAGGGTTTAGGGTTTAGTGCTTTGTATAGGGTTTAGGGTTTGTGTTTCGGGTTTAGGGTTTAGGGTTTAGGGTGGATGACTCGGCATTGTCCTAGACAATCCTCATCACGAAGTTTCTATGATTATTCATCACATAAGTTTCCGTGATAAGTATTTATGATAATTTATCCAATTTAATCGATGTAAGCTTCATCTCACCACCTAATTTAGCTTCTTTTTCAGCAGCTAAGGTAGACCCTAAACCCTAATCCATCGGTATAAAAAAGAGTAGAGGGGGGGTTATCTTTCTCCTCATCCAACTCCTTTGTGAGCACCTCTACTCTTCTTTTTCATATTAGACGCCTCATTCTCTCAACATCTCTCGAGTATAGACCTTTTATGTCCTCAATGTTTATGAGGATCTACTATTAATTGCAATAGGGATCTACGAAGTAGAGTAACCATCATACCTTTGAACAAGATCCAAACATACTTGAAATCAACAAGAACTTATCAGCTGTGAACCACAGTATGTCAGTTGCAAGTGATGTTCAACAAAATGAGAATTCTTCCCCAACCTAAGAGATAGGTTTAGCCTATCTGAGGTTGCTCTCTGTAACTCCTCAAGTGCAAAGGCTTTATCACCTAATTTTAGTAGTGTTATCAGCAGTAGGAATGTGTGCAAGGGGCCGACGATTTGACGGAGGACAGAACAGGCGACGAGAAATATTTGACAACCTGAAAGAATTAGCGACATTTATGTTGCAAAGGGAAACAACACCACTTCTTCTCTAAAATTTGGTTTTGAATTTGTATATTTTGAACAAAATTAGAATATTTTGTGCAACAATCACTTCTCCTATATGGCTATCTCTCAGGTCCTGTTGTTGTTCATGCAACGTGTAATTTTGTTTTGGCTATAGAAAAAACTTGTGAATTATCTTCTGTGAGTTGTCCTTTTAATAGTATAAGTTGATTGTTTAAGATTGTTCGTTTCAAAAAAAAAGATTGTTTAAGATTGTTGCCTAAAAATCCAAACATTGGGGAAGACTGACAGACTTTACCTTCCAAAACGCTTCGAATACTTTTGGGGGATTGAATAGAAATGCAATGGCCAGCCTCTCAGGGTAATGATTTTGTTGGATGTTTACAGTTTCTCGGGCAGTCTTTATGGGCACAGCATTTGCTATTGTCCATCCTGTGAAGTCGATCAGCCAGATCATTTTCTCTTGACCTTCAGGCAGGCTGAGGATTGCATTCTCCAAAGAGTATACAAGGAACCGTATCTGTCCTTCATGGGATGATGTATTCTGAAATTTGAAAACAGTATACAGATGAATTCTGAACAAAGCTTACAGAGAGCAACGGTTTTCGGAAAGAAAAGACACTCAATGATAACACTTTAAAAAAGGGACTTCTTGCCTGCTTTGCTGGTCTCATAACGACAACGGTTCTCCCCTCTGTCTCGAAAACTTGCCCTGTACATTTTACCTGTTTCCCCTTCAACAGAAACTTCAGGCTAAAATACAGTAACAATGATGTTTAGTTACTTTACCGGGGTTCAGATACCATGATACTTGAGGAAAGCAACGTCAGGTAAATAAAAATCAATGGGCGGATTTATCCAGCGTATATCCTCTGGCCTGTAAGCTGCCCTCCACTTGAGACTGTCTTCCAACATTTTTCTGGACTTAGCAACATTCCAGTTACGGGCTTCTAGATATCTTTTTAAGCATGCTTCGCTGCAGTACTTCTCACCACGGGCAGACAAAGTCTCAAGTGCAGATTTCAGTTCAGCAATCTGCTCGCTCCGGGATAGTTGTGTCAGAAATGGACAAAGAAATACTGCGATTAGAAACTGTATTTTTTTTATTTTGCAATGAAATGACAACTTTCAAAATTACCTTTGCTTTTCGCTGATCAGCATCATTAGAATCGAAATGAGAGGCATGCTTTCTCCTAAACATGATTTCTTCCACTCCCAACGATGCTCAACCTAAAATGAACGGTGTCATATCGTGAAAGAATTGACAGTGAGGAACCACACACCGAATTTGTTCTAAAAGATAAAACATAAAACATAAATGCAGTATTGGTGCCAATTACAAAGCATGGTACTGGTGCCAACAATATATGTAAATATCAGGATTAGTGGATTTTACATAATACCGATTCATAGAGCAATACTTTGTTTTCAGGACACTTTCATGGACACTGAACGGTTTATATACTTTGAAAAAAAGGATACAGAATTAAATGCAGACTAAATCCAGGATCTCCATTTCTGCATTGATCGCACTGACATAAATGCGGATTTGTTCTTAAAAGACAACATAAATGTAATTGTGGTCCTGATGCCAATTACAAAGCATGCTACTTGAATGGGATTTTACTTGATCATATATGTAAATATCAGGGTTACTGAATTTTACATATCACTGATTCATAGAGCAATACTTTGTTTTCAGGGCATTTTCATGAAGACTGAACGGTTCTTTGAAAAAAGATAATTAGTTGTAGACTACATCCAGGATTTGGGCTCCATTTCTGCATACACTCACACTGACGTGTTTGATGGTTTCTTTCCACGAAGAACAGAAAGGACCTCTTCCCCTTTGGGTGCACTATATCATCATTGACTGGTTTTATTATTCTGTAGGCCAGAGTCATTGCATGCCTTGGCAAGGTAGCGTCCTAACCAACTATAATAACAGACAAAAAAACATGTAAAAACAAGTAATTCATGGGACCTGGCATCCAGTTGGAAAATGGAACTGAACAAGTACCTGGCCCCTTTTGAGGGCATGCCCATGTATTTTTTCTGTTTGCTGATAGGAACATACTCCTACATTATGGGGCTGGGGCTGCTAAAAGGAATGGAAAAAAGTCTACATAATCCCCCCAAACTATTTAGGTTTTGTAGACTTTTTCCATTCCATAAACGGAAAGAACCTATTGAATGGCCGGGCTGCTACTATGGAGGAGTTAAGGGGAAAGAGGGCTCTTGTACCTAACAGCTCAACAAGATCATTCGAAGAGGAAATGACACATCTGACAAAGCCGAAATTACCAACAAGAACATGAATTGTACAGGTAGAGGTAGGCATCAAGATCTCGGCGTTTCCTCAAAAGACAAATCTTGATTCTCATATCACTTGCCGACTTCCGGTATAAACAAAGAACAGAGAAGCAGTATTGTGCCAGAACAGGGGCTTTATTATTAGATTGACGGCCACAACTAAATAAACAAACCTCTGATCTTCCAAGACCAAAGGAAACAAAAACAAGTAGAGATAACCAGACCAGTCTGCTATCGACGCGGACACTAGAAGAAGAGGAACAGAAGAGGGGGATCGAGAAAGGCTCCATACCAGCAGGATACTCAGGACAGGCAAGGAAGCCCGGCAGCTGAGGCCACAGTCCAGGAACCTGCGAGTCACGCAATGGCGGAAAGACGACTAGCCATGGGCCGGCGCCGGCGACGGGGACGGGGACGGGGACGGGGACGGAAGAAGAAGAAAACGAGTTGGACTGGAATTTTCCTCCCTCTTCTCGCTCGTTGTCCTCTTGTGGGAGCAAGAATCAACGCACTTGTGATGAGAGGCAGGCAAGGGAGGGGCTTCTAGAATTGTACCGATCGGTCGCGTGCTTTTAATTGTTTTGGTGGATGGGACGGCGCTCTTGACGTCGCTTCGCCTTCGCTGACTTGCATAGGCCGCGTTTAGTTACCTGCAGAATTGGGGCAGCCGGAATTCTCCGGCACTGTTCCTGCACTGTAGCGCAATGTAGTATTTCATTTGTATTTGGTAATAATTGTCCAATTGTTGACTAATTAGGCTCAAAACGTTCGTCTCGCAAAGTACAACCAAACTATGCAATTAGTTTTTAATTTCGTCAACATTTAGTACTCCATGCATATACCGCAAGTTTGATGTGACGAGGAATCTTCTTTTTTTTTTGTATAGTATCAAAATTTGGAATCTGGGCTAACTAAACAAGGGCATAGTTGCATCGCACCACCGAGACCACGAGATGGAAGGGTGCTGCTATACTGCGATCGACGTCAGATAAGGAACAGGACAGCTGCAGCAAAAGGACAGAGATTGTTTTTTCCGCCTCTCCACCGGGCCAGGTAATAGAATTGTAATTTTTTTTTTAATTGTGAGGTGTGAGTACACTACACGCATGACGCATGCTCTTTTGTTAACACAGCGCTATCAAATTAAAGTATATTAAATTTGACTGATTATATATTTACAAAATACCAATATTTATAATATAGATAACATTAATTTTTTTGTGAGATATACTTTTTATAATATGCCTGTTTTGTATCATAAACATTAATATTTTTATCTATATATTTTTCAAACTTATAATACTTTAACAAAAAAAAATGCATTTAGATTTTTTTTGGAATAAAGGAAGTACAATTCAGGCCACACGTACACATTTCTACTAGAGGATTTGCGAACTATTCGTATATACACAGCTTGATGTCAAACTACACTACAAATGTCACCAGAACAGAATAGTTAGTCCAAACAGGCACAGAGTTATAGGCAGGACTAAAAGCACTACCATACCAGAAAATGGTCAGAAACTTATATCCAGAAGCGAGTCAGGAGTCGGCGACACTAGCGGCGTTGTAGTTCTGTTCATAAGTTCATTAAACATTTTTACAGAACCTTTGTTGATGTAGGCGATCAAGTTTTTATACCTAGTACAATTCAATTCACGAGCACTACTAGCGCAGAATTTGACCCGTGACTCCGTGAGCACAGGTGCAGAATTTCAATTGTTAGGGACTGTGTCGCGTCGGCCCCGTTCGGCTTACCCCGTATCCAGCTTGTTCGGCTTCTTTTTTCAGCCGGAACAGTGTTTTTCTCTCACAACAATTCAGCTAGAACAGTATTTTTCAGCCAGTTTCAGCCAAAATTCAGCAAGCCGAACGGAGCCTGGCGCCTAATCAGTGACAGTAATAACAAACATGAACGAATAGTCTTATAGTCTAGTAATTGGATTACCAATGTTTTGAAATGTTGATTATGTGCCTTCAAGGAGGAATCTTCTTGAAATTGGGGGCACTAGCACTACATTTGAAAAGTAAATTTGTGCAGCTTGCCTGCAACATGGGCCATCTCTCGTTCTCTTGTATTTGTGTATATAATAGTCGCCGTAATTGAGTGGTGTTCAGCAGGACGATGCATTTTAAGGGACCACGATCAGTATGCAAAATCCAATTTGGCTTACGAGAAGCTCTATCTAGCCCTAGATCCAATGTTATGACTTGTGAGTTAATAAATATATAAACAGGTATTTATATGCCTGCCTGCACCTGCACCTGCACCTGGGGATAGTTTCCAGTGAACCGCCCTCTGAATAGCAACTTTTTAGCTGATATTTCAGCTCCATCCGCTCATTTATAGTGGTCTTGAGCTTTGAAATATTCCCCGTTTGAACTAGTTTTGGATTCTTAAGAACCAGTTTTTGCATCTAGTTTCTAAAATCTAGATTTTGAGGAAAAAAACTAGCGGTGATGTTTGGATACCAGTTTTTACTTTATTTATTGCTCTTTGGGCCATAGGAAACTGGCAAAAGCTGGATATCAACAGCTTCTTGATTTTTAAAAATCTAACAAAAACTTGCACAAGAAACTGAGCAAAAACTAAGTTGTTTGGATCTCACCAAGTTTCCAAAACCAGATTATAAAAAACTATGAGGGATCCAGTACGTTTTTTTTCTCGCGGCGAAAAAGCATCGAACAGTACGCATTCTCTCACTGCACCGCGGGACCCACCCGTCGTCCTGGGCGACACGTAACCCAGTGGACCCGTGCAGCCACGACGCCACCACGCACCTTCTCCAGGTCAACCACCAGCTCAGGTCAACGCGATCAGCCGGGCCGGACTGCAGCACTTCTCGTCAAACTTTTCCTCTGAATGGAATATCCATTCCCTGTTGCTAGTTTCTGCGTCCCTTTGGGAGTTGGGCGTACCCATAGGCCCCCGCGCTTGCAGCGGATTTATCCTCCCAATCCCAACGAGCAGAGAGAGAGAGAGGATCCCCAGGCCGCCAGGGCACTTGCAAGGGATTTTTAGCCTCCCAACGAGCAACGAGAGGGAGGGGTTTTGCTCTTGCATGGTTTGTGGCGCCAAGGAGCTCGTTAAATATGGACGCCCTGGATCACTCGGACGATGAGGAGGAGGAGCGGGGCCGGTACGCCACCAGCAGCGGCAGGCCAGGCTCCAGGCTCGGCGCGCGGCGGCGGAAGCGGAGGTCCGGCGGCAGTCATCAGCACCTGCTGCTCATGGACTGCGTCGTCGGCGGCGACGGGGACGGCACGTTGGAGGACACCGTGCCGCTGCCGGACTACGAGCGCCTGTCCCAGTCCGCGCCCCTCCACGACGACGCTGACGACGACGATGCCAACAACCCGCCTCCGGCTCTGCTGGCTGCAGAGGAGCAGCAGCAGCAGAAGGCGCAGGCGCTGGCCAAGCAGGGGGCGGCGTCCCCGCCGCCGCCAGTGCCGCCGCAGCAGAAGCCGGCGGCGTGGAGGCTGATTGAGTACGTGCGGTCAAGGAACAGGTCGGGCGGCGCAGCTGGGGCAGGGGCCGGTGGGTGCGGCGCCGGGTCTGACGGCGACTCCAGGAGCTCCGAGGACGGCGAGGAAGGGAAGAAGGACAAGAAGAAGAATAAGCGGTCGTCCTGGCTGCCGGACCCCGACCGCCGGTGGCCGGTGCAGGGCTTCTACTAGCGCGCCCTTGCGTGCGCCGAGGTTATCATTTTCCCAGTCTCCTCGTCAGCAAAAGTAAAACCATTAGTCATGAGTCATGACGCGTCTCTGACCCATCACCCATGTGTTGGCTGCTTCAGTCTCTCTTTCTTTTTTTTTTGCCCCATTTTCCTTCTTTTCGGTGTGGGTTTGCAATGTGCCAATGTCAATGTGGGTTTGCCATGTCAATGCACGGACATAAATGACGAGGACAAACCTGGCATGCTTTTTGCGATGTACTGTACGGTAACAATGTAATGATCTGCAAGGCAATATATTTTGAGGGCGACTCACGCCACGCTCAGCTTTCAGCTTCCCGGTGCTGATGCACCATGACATGGGTAAATTTGTTTTGCCACTAAAGAGCCTAAGAATTACCACATATCTTTACAAAAAAAGAACATTATGCTCTTTTTACAACTTGTTCGTTTGGTTGTGGCTTATCGTGAACGATCGTGAAATTTCCAAATAGGAATAGTATTTTTCTCTCACACAAACCACCAAAGAAGATCTTCTTCACGAACCAAATGATTTAAACGAACAGAAATACAAACCGAACAGGCTGTTAGTGGTTGCCACTTACCCTTACCAAAAAATAAACATTTATGCTCTTTTTTAGTGGTGCCGCATATTAAAAAAACATATATGCTCTTTTTAGTAGCGCGCCAGGGTCGATTTGTTGCCAGCTTCGCTTCCACAGCTTCTTAATTGCATCCTCTTTCTTCGATATCTTGTGTCCAAATAATCAGAAAATTTCTGACGTATCTTCTTCACGTATTTCACAACTTATCTTTTTAGACTGTAGAGAGCAAATTTCACAACCAGTTGCAGTACTCTGGAAATATTACTGCAGTCATCAAACACTGCACATTGAGTGAAAAAAGCACGCAGACATCATTTTGAGAGTTAAAACACGGAGCATACGCTGCATACCTTTACCTTGTTTATTAGCTAAAACGAGTAGGGACAGTTAAGGGAACAAACTTCAGACAATATATACAGTCTTGAAAAAAAACAGAGATGCAAGCACTATACCAAATCCAGAGGATGTAGGTAGGCCTACAGCTGACTACATGTGAGAGTACACAGCGACACACGCACTGATTGGGCGATACAGACATCCGCTCATGTCTCAGTTTTCCCTGCCCAGAGGAGGCCGGCCAGCGCGCCGGAACCACGTCTTGAACGCGGCGACCAGATGCGGGCAGTCGTCAACATTAGGTGGAGAACCCCAGGCATTGCTGCAGCAGCTCCTGGGCTTCTGGGACAGGCAAGGTGGAGATGATCTGAAGAAACGCCTCCTCCAGCTCTTGGCAGTTGGTTGATTTCTGGAAGTGCATTGGTTGAACAATGTCCCGGCAGACGTTTAGGACAGGGAGCCAGCTTTTGACAAGCATCATCCTCACCTGATGAAAAGACATGTAGAACAGTTTCAGATACACAGAGAAACGCAACTTCATAAGCTGATTATCAAGAAGCTTGCAACATTCAAATGCAATCGAAGAATTGAGATAGCAGGTTCCGTTTGACAAGAATAAGATACCAAAGTGCAAGCCTGCTGCATTGCTCAAAGGAAACACCAGTCGGTAGATACATAAACCGCAGATGCACAGATGGAATAGAACTGGAAAGAGAATTTTCTATTGAGAAATAAGTACAAACAGTATGGATGCAGCGAACCATGAGACCTATACCATCTAAAGTGTATCATAGTTTCATCTTTAGAGACATTCCAACATTTAAGCCAGAATCAGAAGGCCCACAGAGGCCAGACCATAAACTGTGGATGAACGATACAAGGAAACAAATGAACATCAGTGCATGTGCATGATAATAGCATAAGAAACAGAGATGTCGCTAATTGAAAGACTTGTGCTTCATCGAAACAAAAAAAAAACAATCCACAGGCAGGAGGCTACTGGAGCATAACGTGCCAAATATATAAAGATCCAGTTCGACAATTTGAACTGTCATCTTTAGCATATAGTACTAGTAACAGTAAGAGGACTCCTTAGTTATTCCTGAAAACCAGTTACAACCTTTGTAATTTTAGCAAAGCGCATAACGAGCGCTTTTGGTAGAAACCTACAGAGTAGCCCCTTCAGCAAACTAAACACTATAACCTGCAGCTAGATACTGCTTTGTTTACTGGCAAACATGATGTAGATATTTAATCATGTAACAAAAAAGGGCAACCACGGAGAATTGGAGAGTGCATAATTCTGGGAAAGCCTTTTGTGGGGAAAGACCAACAACTTGCTTAAGATTAGAAAAGCAAGCACGTCCTTGGATATAATTAGTTTGGGGCCTTCATGCAACGATTAGATTTTATGATGACAAAAATACTGGAGGTGTTTCTTTTTAGAGATTGGCAGTGATGTAGCCTTGCTGACAAATCTGTAAGCAGATCTGCGTTTTAGTTTGCTGGACGACCTAGCAAAAATATTCAGTCAGATTTTATTCAGTTGTATCGTCTTGTTCACTTTCTATAGGGAGGACAAAGATTAAGCAATAGTAGTCCCGAGGATTGTATGAGCAAGGTCTGAACTCTTTCTATTACTAGAAACGTAAGGAACCCCAAAGGGAGAATACGAAAGATTAACCAATGCTGCGTTTTTAGAAGAAGCAATTGGATAAGAGGTGAAATGAGCAGACAAAACGACCAAGGGCTCACGCAAGAAACCACTAATAGTTGGCCCACAATGTGGCCAAATGTTTCAGACCAACTCTACTGAAGCAAATATACTAGGCCCATTTATCTCATCAGACTCCTTAAGTAAAGCAATAAATTATTAAAGCATTCAACAATCCTGACCCTCTTATCTCTGAAATCAGCTCCTAGATTAAAGTTTTTCTTTATTTCTCTTTTTTCTTTTTTTGCATGTAGCATAAACCTTTTGGTCTGAATTCAATCCAGATTCGTGTTTAATTCCTACCATCCTCTTGTCTTTCTTTCAGCTCTTGACCATCAATAACTCCAACAATAATCACATTTAAATATCTGTAAATTGATTCCTTATTGGAATCGTTACTATATATTCATGCAAATAGGTAATCAAGCTCTTAAGTCAACGTTAAAACACTTGTACAAGCTGTATTACTATTACCAAAACATGACAATGCAATCAACAACATTGATAATTGGTTAATTTAGCACTTAAACTCACGTCAAACATAGATCACTCTTTAAGTATTAACGCTTTCATCAGTCCAACCTGTCACTGATTAATCTTGTTCACAACCTATTAATCCAATTAATGCCCATAAATAAGACACAAGCTAATCAATATATCAATACATACTCATAAAAGGCGGCTTTGCTCTCTGATTTGATACACTACCAAACACCTCACAAAAATCTGATTTAGGGGTAAATACTACAAACCCTAATTACCAAACAATGTGGTAGAGACCATGTGGTGTTCTTAGATTACAACCAACAGAGATACCCAGTGAGGCCTTGATAGCATGATAATCATATGGAGTCACCACACAACATGTTGCTTGAATTAAATAAACTAACCATAAAGAATAGGATAAGATTACAATATATCGTGCTAGTAATTAGTGGTCAAAGTAGTATGTCGGTGGCCATGTCGGTGTCCACACTGATGCACTATTATAATTGGAGGGAGTACTCCAACAAATCTGTGCTACCTTGTTCGTCTATCCATTATATTAAGTGGAAGTAGATTCCACTACAATTCAGGAGCTCAAACAACCCTAGGACTGAAGTATCAATCTAGAACTTCTCAAGAGAATATACTCAGATAAATCAAAATACATTACATTACATATCAACAAAGTTATCTTGCAAGACAACAGTGTATCAGCACAATATAGAACCTATTTTGATTGTACTGAGACGTATCGACAAAAATGGTATGCAACTTATGCAAGTCCTGGCTGGGCTTTTCAGGCTTACCTATAAACAATTGAACATTAGGTGCTACTTTGTATTAAGAGGAAAGATGCAGAAAACACAGCCATTGGCTTATAACAAAGGAGCATTCAATTAATAAGTCTTATAAGCTGCGGCAAGTTAAACCATTCTAACAGAGCATGGTATTATGTTGACATATGCAACCTATTATCAACTGCTTTTCAACAGAAGGAAATCACACGCAGGTAGCATCTTCTAAGTTCTATCTGAATCGTCACATTTATCTATACTATAAAGGAGCGAAGAAATTGAAAATATCTTTTTACCCAAAATTTTCTTACCCATCTTACATGAGAACCATTGGATGACTTGAGTTTTTAAATCTGATGGCCCTAATTAATCTTAGAGTGGGGCCGTAAGATGCCTTACGCGTGAGATCTTACGTTCCTGTCCGCCACCCTCCCCACGCTTGTTTTTTTTTCACCAGCGACTTGTTTACCCGCCCACGCGTACCCATGAGCCACGGGCCATGATGCGGTTACGATGCCCTCCCTTACCCGCCCAAGCGTACCCACGGGCCACGGTGTTGCAGTTACGATGCCTTCCGCATCCGTGGCATCGGCGCCTCCTTCCATGGGTGTTGTCCTTTCGTTCCCATCAGCGCCGCCAATCCCCGGCAACCTCGCCTTTCCTTCCCTCGGCAGCGTCGACCTCTCAATTCCAGCGGCGGCACGAGATGCGGTTCCCAGCTTCCAGATCGACAAGCCCCGGTGGACGCGAAACCCCGAGCCCTATCGGCAGATGGCGACGCACTGATGGAGTCCCTGGAGGCCCTCGACTTGCAGATCGACAAGCCCGAGCGTATGCGAAACCCCAAGCCCTATCGGCGGATGGTGACGCACTAATGGAGTCCCTGGAGGCCCTCGTGGTGCACATCTAGGGCCTCTCAGGTCGGCAACCCCTTCTGACGCCCGACAGGGGAGGAGGAGAAGGGCGCGCCGGCATTGTCAGCGCCGGTGCCCGCGGAGGACGCGACGGTGTGTCCGGGAGCGGGTGACGAGGTCGCGTCGTCGTAGCCCCTAACCGCGCCAAGGTCCGG